TAATCACTCTCTCTCTCTCTTAAAATATACTCACTGAAACTAACTTACAAATTCAATGGCATTTTAGTAATTTTCTAATATTTTTACCTTTTTTTTGGTGGAAATCCAGAAAGACAAGAATATGGCTGGGCACATTCGAGACGGCAGAGGACGCAGCCAAGGCCTATGACGAGGCAGCCCGGATCATGTGTGGGCCGAGGGCCCGAACAAACTTCGCGTACAATGCCAACGAGGCCCAATCCTCATCGGCCCGACTCATCTCCTCCACTCTAATGGCCAAGCTCCAGAAATGCCAGGCGGCCTCCCTTAAGACTGCAAAAAAGCAAACTTTAAGCAGCGTAAGCGGGCCTGATCATGGGCCGGGCTTCGGCAGAAACAATGGCCAAAACAGCCCAATTGCGAGCAAAAGCGTCCTTTGCAAAAGCCCGTCTGCTAATGGGGAGCAAACGTTCTTTCAGCCTCTTGAGGATGATCACATTGAGCAGATGATTCAAGAGTTGCTTGATTATGGCCCAATTGAGCTTTGCTCTGTTATGGAGAGTTAAATAAAGGATAATTTAATTAGTTGATGAGAAATTAATCTTGTATTACTATTTCNGATTCTGTTTTTTTTTTTTTTTTTTTTAATTTTCTTGAGATGAAGTTATATTGCTTCCACTATTTCCATGTATTCTCTCTGACTATTAGTGGTTTGTAATTAGACAGATAAAAAGATGAGATCATCTGCCTGGTCTCATATTCCATGGCAAGAATGGCTACTATAGCTAGTATAAAAAACTGTCATTTTTAGTATTGTTTCAAATAAAAATCGAGTGAGTTTATTTTAACTACTTGGTGAATTATATATTTTAGTATTGTTTCAAATAAAAATCGAGTGAGTTTATTTTTTTTAACTACTTGGTGAATTATATACAATCCAATGTGATATTTGGGGAGGGTTCAACCTTACTGCCCACACCTAGTTTTTTATATGTCATTCACAATAACACTAATCCAATGGTTAAAAACTTAATGGGTACAATGAAAATTTACTGAATTAGAGATCAAATGAGATTCAAGAGCTTTTGCATAATCACTTTGAATCAAGCATTGTTGTCCATTGCTTTAAAGTTTATATCTCTTTTTGAGAGATCTTAAGGAAGATACAAAAGCTATGTCCCAAAATTAATGGACAAAAATGTCCCTCATCGTAAAAAATATTTTTTATTTAAAAAAACGGTGAAAAACAATCGTATGTAACTTATTGGGTTCGGTCGGATCTACATAATCTTATGATACTTTATCTTATTTATCGCGACAATCGCGTGTAGTGCGATTCTACCGTCTTGTACGCACACTTACTTCGAACATAATATCGAAACATAATAGCGAAGCTAGGCAAGTACGCGTATTCAAGGTTCAATAATTAAACTTGTAACTTTTTTTTTTTTTTTTTTTNTACTTTTTTTTTTTTTTTTTTTTAAATGTTGGTCTATGCAATGAAATTCAACATGAGATTGGAGGCGATGATCACGTTTAACTTTTAAGGGACTCAAGGCCCCATGATGAAAAAAGACAATTACATCCATAATTGGTTTGAAGACATATGTTTCGTTTTAAGTCTCGTTTATGTCCGGTTTCAATTAGAAAACAGCTGCTAATCACTACTTCAATTTTCTTTTTGACTCACACATTAGTTATAAATGCAAAACTTTGTGTTTTCCCGTAATGGGACAATAAATAATCTCCAGGAATGATACTGTCCGAAAAGCCATTTTGGGAGGAAGGATTGCCACGCGCATTCATTTTGACATGAGATTTTACCAGAAAAAAGTTGGACAAAAATTTCACCTGGCAACGACTTAAATTGCTCTTGCTTTTTTTCCCTGTACCACATTTTCAATATATTTTATATTTTTGTTCCTCTGGACGTAACACCACATGTTACTTTTATTGTTTTTTCTGTTTTAGGTAATGTCTGTATTTCGTTAATTAACTTGTAAAATGTAACTTGTCAAATAAATTAGAATTAGCTACAAGCTACCATCTAGGGCTACTTACTTAATAACTTCTACCAGTCCGTTAGAATCGGATTAATTAGAACACATTAGGCGGTCTAATCGTTAAACAGATTGTTACTGATCCATGGGATTGAATGTGGGATTTTCATAGCAGCTTAGGTGGAAGCCCGAGCCATCAGTGAAATACCAGTCAAGGAGCGCTAGAGTTCTAACCTTGTGTCAGGACCTACGGGCCCAGAGTGTCAGTTAGACAGTTTCTATGGGGCGTAGACCTCCAAAAAGATAACGAAGGCTTGCAAATGTTTCTAATCGTTAAACGGATTGATACGGATCCATGGGATTGAGTGTAGGCTTTTCATAGCAGCTTAGGTGGAAGCTCGAGCCATCAGTGAAATACCTGTTAAAGAGCGCTAGAGTTATAACCTTGTGTCAGGACCTAAGGGTCGAGGAACAGTCTCATGTAGACAGTTTCTATAGGGTGTAGACCTCCCAAAAGATAACGAAGGCTTGCAAATGTTTCCTCGAGCCGGCTGTTGATTGGCCCTCGAGTGCAAAGCTAGAAGGGAGTTTGACTACAAGACCCACCCGTCGAGCAGAGACGAAAGTCGGCTATAGTGATCCAACGGTGCTGAGCAGAAGGGCCGTCGCTCAACGGATAAAAGTTACTCCAGGGATAACAGGCTGATCTTCCCCAAGAGCTCACATCAACGGGAAGGTTTGGCACATCGATATCTGCTCTGGTGTGGGAGTTAGAGCATTGAGAGACGAGAGGACCGAGAAGGACTCACCTCTGTTGTACTAGTTATCATTACCACGATAAACGCTTGGTAGCCAAGTGCCGAGCGGATAACTGGAATTCTTATTTCTTTTCTTTCCTTTTCCTAATTGAAGAGATAGTTGGAAAATAAAACAAGTACAAAAATGAGTAATAACCCCCAAGTAGAGACTGGTACGATTCGATTCAACATTTTGTTCGTTCGAGTTTGATTGCATCATAATTCTATAATTCGGGATTAGGTTTATCGTTGGATGAACTGCATTGCTGATATTGAACCCAAAGCATTATCATAATGAACAAGACTTGACTTATACATCAAAGTGCATATTTATATTGTGAAATGCTCTTGTATTAATATTTCAAGTATGGAAATGTATTGTAGTCTAATAATTAGTCATTTGCCTACCATAAGCATTATCATAATGTACAAGACTTGACTTATACATCATCTAGCTTTCCAGCTAGATGATAAGTTAACCGATGACTCATAAGTTAATTTTGAATTGATGAGCTAGGAAGGAAAAACTAGTTGATATAATAATTTTTTGGGAGAAGATGAGCTGATATGCTAGCTCAATAACAAAAATCTTCATGGACTTTTAGGAAATGTCTCAATTGAGTAAGCTCGAACATTAANTTAAAAAAAAAAAAAAAAAATCTTACCAAGAAGAATACTTATTCAATTATTTGAATATAGAATTCTCATATACACCAACTTATAATTATCTCGCACACTATAATAGTACCTGTGTATTTTTAATTTATAACTAATTATACTATCTTGTGTATACCTGTGTATCGGCTCCCAACATTCAGCATTTAGTAAGACATATAGTATATATTTATCTTTACATATCAATCATCAGATTTGAAATCACCATATAAATACAACCCAAGTTTCAATCATCCAAATTCGAAATTATTGGTAAACTTTGAAACACAAAATCACCGTATAAATATAACCCAAGTTTCATATGTCATGGACCGTTTCCAAAAGGATTTTAACCTAGAACAAAAACTAGTCACTCCGTCTTACAAGTCAGAGTTAATTGTCTAATATTATTAGGCAGATCAAGTCGTTATATTTTGGAACAATCAAATATAAGCATATATACTGTGAATACTCATATTTCACTATTTGGTTGAATAGTTTGTTTTACATTATTTTTCAAATTAAAAAAAATGATATATCAACATATTATTCACAGTTAGACCATACAAACCATTTAGTCTAGAAACTGTCTCCATGATTGAGAAACTGACACGTTTCTTTCTCTGAATATTTTTTTATTTTAATTTTTGTGTTCTTCTTCCCTTTGAGAAAAGAAGTCCTCATATCCATGTGCTTGTGCTAGAATATATATTTTAGGTTACAACACCATGTTACTCATAGACTTTGCCCACAATTTTCATTTTGTTGGGCATTAAAATGTTCCTCATATACTTAAGTATATATCCAAATGGGTCGCCATTTTGTGCACGATTGCATGCACGTGGATGGAGTTTTATTTTCTCCTCCAAAATCTAACAAAACTGCGCAAGAGACAAAGACATGATAACGACCCAATTGATTTATATTCATGCATAAATTTTATATATGCTACATTCAATGTATCCTTGGATTGTTCATGAGCGATAGGTATGTGGTTAATCATGGAGACAATCAGTTTATTAGTGATTGACTATAGTCTATAGCATCTCAATGTTTCAAGCTGATGCATTTGATTTGNAATATTCATGCTTAAAAATATCTTTTTTTTTAAAGAGGATCAATATTAGTTCCTCACTTACCCTCTGCATGACTCGAACTCTTGACCTATGGGTCTCAAGTGCAGAGTGTTACTAACTGAGTTACTACTTCTTGTCTCAAGTGAAGAGTGCTACCAACTGAACTACCCCTTCTCCCTTCTCGTCGGATGCTTTTGATTTAGTAAAAGCTTTGAATACTCGAATATATTAAAGAAATTGATATTTCTTTCATAAACATAGGCGGAAATTTCGTTTTCAAAAATTTCACTTACTAATTAATAAGTGATAGAATCTAGTATAAAAATATTTATATTAGTACTCTTTTTCATTCTTAGACGGATTAGATTCGTTTTATTTTGAAAAAATGCCCCTTTTGGTCCATCTGTTTACCTTCCAGTTTTTTTATGAATCACTAATTATATGAGGCGGCCTAACCATTAGACAGGAAGAGAAGTCATACTTCTTTTTTAATAAAATTGTATACTTATCCAATAAAATGTCATACTTTTGTTTCTATTTTTTTAGAGTGGCATATCATATTACCTATTGAAAAAAATAGGTTTGTCTAACTATTAGGCCACTCAAACAGTAGTATTATTGTTCTTGATTATATATACAATGTTAATGAGGCTTTTACCAGTAATTCACCACCATGGTAATGGAAATTTTCAATTTTCGAATGTATGCAGGTCCCACAATTCTACAAAGTTGTATACTTTATGGATGTTTAACTTTTAAATAAATATATGCATGTGGGTATTTTGCTTCCCAGGTTTTACTTACCAAGTATGCATAAATTGTGCTGCATGTTTTAGACCGAGCAGATGTCCTTCATGAAAGAATAGCGCATTATTTTTACAGTCTGGATGGCTGGATGTGTGCTTAGGCATCTCATAGAGCTTTCAGAAACACGCACTCACGATTGAAGTTATCAACCGAAAATATGTCAAGTGCATGACAAACACAACACCAGTGCAGACTAGCTCGTTTGGCTAAGTCAGCTTTATTGAAATCCAACTCTGCACCAAAATGAGCAGCAAAGAATGTTAGAAGGTGCAATGCAAATGTAACAATCAGCTCATCATGAGAGAACATAAAATCCTTAGTTCTTGAATCATTTGGTAACTTGTCGAAAACCAAAACCAGACAAAGTTGGTATCTATATCTATATAAAAAGGTTTGTATTTACTTAAAATAATATGAGTTTCACCCCAAAAAAATCTTAGTTACTAAATATGAAAAGTTCTTTTAAACATTATGTTTTACTATGTTTTCTCTATTTCCGTTTGGTAATTTTTTATTTATCATTTGATGTGAAACTTTTATTTATATTTTAGTTAGTTTGATATCTATAGTTGATCTAATATATTGATTAAACTTTTCAAAAATTTTCAATCAAATACTTTATTTTTATTTTTATTTTTATGATATCAATAGTTTGAGATTAAACTTTTAAAAAATATACAATCAATTATTTCATTTCTATCTAATCTAAAATTTTAATTGATTTGGAAAATATAAAATTAACGGATGTGGATGTTGTTATAGATCAATCACTCCAATGATAATTATTTGTATATTAGGAAAAAAAACTAAGAAATTTAAATATTTTCTAAAATTTCTAGATGAGAAAATTTCCTAAATATAATTTTTCTTTTCCATTTTTCTTATTAAGAATTGATTTTGTTTTTTAAAAGCGTTAATGACATTTTATATGTTATTCATTTTTTGTATGTAATATTAATTTTACCTTCATATTAAGATTTTTGATTTGACAATCATATTGTATGTATAAATAAAAATAATTATTTCCAATGTAGTTTATTAGTTAATATTGCATATATAAAGTTAACGTAAATTTATTATTTAATAGTAATTTAAAAATAAAAAATTAGTCTAAATTATTCATAGAATAAATATAAATGTATACATAATAAAATATGTTTATATAAAATAATCTAAAATGGTAATTAATGTGTCATTTTTCGATCTACCATTTAAGTTATTAGATTATATAGAATCAGAATATTTATAATATATATTGTTAAAAATTATGATTAACCAACGAGCCATTTGTCGAAATGTCATGTAAATTACAAGTTTTGGAAAGAAAAATTAAAGTATCTGTTTATTAATTATGATGACAAACCAACGGATCATCATTCGAACAAAATTATAAGTTATAAAGAAAATTTAAAATATTTATAATATATAATATTATAATTACAACGATAAACCAATGAATCATTTGTCGAACGACGATGCAAGCTGTCAACTCAGAAAAAAATATATATATATATATATATCACTATAAATTATAATGATAAACAATGGTGTTGAACTGCCATGTGAATTTTTTTATTTATTAGATTATGAAGGAAATTTAAATATTTATTATATATTATTATAAAATAATTAAATAAGAAACTAGTTTTGACATCATTAAAAATTAATAAATTTATAACTTTAAATACTATTTTTAAATTAAATGTCAGTTTGTAATATTTGCGACAAATTTTATAGTAAATTTTGACGTCATTTTAGTAAGTTTTACAGGGTATTGAGTAGATATTGAGTAGCTGAAGATAAATAGCGAAGTATTTTTTTATGAATATTATTTATTGATAATGTTTGAATATGTTAAATTTTCATGTTCCTTAATTTTAAATAGGAACTCTAAAATGATATTGTATAACGGGTGAAATAAACATATAAGTTATAAACTAGTATATGTTATAAAAATAAAAATAAAAATTAGTATTAATATTCACAACTATTTTATACTAATTGTATTCCTTCACTACGAAAATCATTATTGCTCCGTGCATCGCACGGGCTACGTACTAAGTCAATCCCAAAACACTTGATAACAAAGCCCGTACAATGGAAAAATATTATAAATGAGGCCCTGTGATTTGGACTAATTACATAATATGGAAGCTGATTATTGCAACACAAAAACCACCTTGTAGGCTCAGTGCACTTGGCATATATATGTTGTTAGAGACATAAAAAAGCTATAGCCCAATGAAAACTGCTGTGGTCACCAAATATTCTGCATCTTCACCCATCAACTTTTATAAGCTATTACAAATAACCCCAACTTCTTTTGTTATATCCCTCAACTTTTCTAAATATAAAAAATAATAATTTTGAAAGTGGTTCTATTTTTACTATTTAGAGAGTTCGGGTGCAATTGAAATTGGTCGTTCAGCAAATTCCATCTGGCCAACCAACTACTCTGCTCGGCAAAATGTAAGATATCAAAGTCAAGTGAGGTTTTCATAGTATGCGGAGATAGCTAGGTTTTTCTGGTAATATCACTTTAAGCAAAGGAAAACTGGGGAAAGATAAATAAGCATGCCTATGAATAATGGGAACGAATATTTCATGACTATCAACTTCAAAACACGAAATCAACACACCTTTGATTATTTACGAAATCGCGATTCTCTTTCGACTCTCGAAGTCCTCTTTCCATGTTTTCTTAGCCATTCTGACTTCGTTTAACTGATTTTCAGGGATGCTCGTGTTTGCATCCAAAATCTCTAGCCAGTCTTTCCAGGGTGACTTTGAAGGGTCCAAAAACTTAGACAAGTGAGGCAGCATGATAGAACTATAAAAGTCGTCAACCAGTTTGAGGATTTCTTCAGATTCAACCAAAGTCAACATTTCGGGCCTCGTTAAGTTTCCTGGTCGTTTTCTGATGACGAAATTGTTTCCCCTCAATATCAGTACTTCAGATGGAGCCAGAGGTAGGATAATCCGTGAGAATTTGGACAGGGATAATTTCAAAACATCTCTTGGGAGTAAATTACGTTTTATAGCAATTGCAGTTCCTACCATTTTGCGTATCTGATAATATGTACAAAGAAAAAAGAAAAAAAAAATAAGTATGAATACAATGACATAAGCATCAAATAAAATATATATATATATATATTAAAAAAAAAAAATCCACAACCCTACTTCTGGCTGTTTGTACATTCTGCAATATGATAAATAGCTTAGAATCAAGGATACAAAGTATTTTCTGTTTTGACTAATCATTATCACGAAACAAAGCCTAAACACACGGCACTACAAGTTGTATTCAATGTGCGGTTGGAATATATATAATTAATCATACCGACTGAAAATATATAGCAATAGTTACCTGATGCAACATGAACGACTCTCCATAAATGGATATTTCTACATAATTCAGACCACCCAAATGCTCCAACTTCCTACAACAACACTGAAAAATCTTTCTGAAATGTGAAGCACTGATCCTGTCCTTGTCATCGGGTTCATGCAACCACCGAGCATGTACAGGTGCATTGAGAATTTCTTCCTTTGAGTTGCCTTCAATTTCTCCAAATACTCCAGCTGAAGATTTATCATTAAATTCTTGAATATCTTCTTCATAATCCCCTCCTTCTGACTCAGAGAAACTTTGCATGTCAGGCGACGTCACCTTTTTTGATACGGAACCATTTCCTGAAGGGGCTCTCTTCTGTTTTCTGTACTTAGATCTAACTGTATAATTGTGAAATGGATGTTCTCCCTGAAACATTACCCAATAGCACAAACTGGTTGATAAAGGTGAACTTTTACTTCTCGTTTCAGATAATACAGTATTGATCGAGTCATATGACTACAAATTAAGTATATCTCATCCTAACACAAATTCTCAGCTTCTATGTGGAAGGAAAAAAGAAGTATAAGCATATTATGGATTTTTCAGAATTCTATATAGAAGGAAAGAAAAAAGAAAATCTTTAATACAACCACGAAGCTAATACCGAAGTTTTACCGTATTAAGCAGAAAATAAAAAACATTGATGATAGAGATGTTCTTCTAAGCATTAAAAATACCTCAAAAGTGTTCAATATAGCATTGAAATCTGACAAATGACGATCAACTTCACCAGATGTTAAATTCTCTTTTACTCCAATAATCTCAGCAGGGAGAAGATATGAATATTTACGAAGGCTACATTCTCTTCGGACGTCAAAGCTCCTGAAAATAAGGTAAGCAAACATTAAGCAGAAATATCAAAGCAAGTTGAAGCGGATGAAACTCTCGCTTAATGCACAAAAGATAAAATTTCCGGAGAAGTATTAATTGCTCATGATAGTGCAAACAACCAAAAGCAGGTCAATGAGCCATCTAGCCGTATTAAAAGAACTTGGTTCAAGAATCCTTAACTTACTATTAGCATCTCCATATACAGATAATTAACAGGACTAAGTGACCAAGCAACCACTTTATTAAGACAATAACATGACAGACATGTCATGAAGAGCATTAGCAAATTAAATAAGCAAAAACATTCAAGATATGCCATGCAGATTTAGTTTTCAATTATGATTTTATTAAGTCGGAAGAATAGTTGACCAAACAAATTTGATGAGAACGAGGTCTTCAGCTTCCCTTCTATCAGTAGAAATGCATGCATGTGTGTGTGTGTGTGAACTGCTACCTTTGTGAAGGCAAGATGCTGAAAACTCTTATGTTGTCAGGAAGATAAGAATTAACATAAGTCGCAAGAGCAAAACCATTAGGATCATTTTTCCAGGCAAATTCTGGGATCTCCAATTTTAAGGATATCATGGTTGCCAATGAATGAACCTGAAATGCATGATAAACAAGAAGCCTGGTGAAGAAAGTTGGGTAAAAAACTAAGGATAAATATGCAAAAATCTGTAAGTATAACATATACTTACCCCTTTATCCGTCCGACTACTTCTTGCCCACCCAACTTTGTGCAAATCACCATAATTGCTATCTTTGATTCCACCAGCTTTAAAAATAGCTTTTTCTAGTTCCCCTTCTATGGCTACACAAGAATATGTAACGTGTTCAGCAAAATCTTGAAACTATAGCTCGATTAATGTGAAATGTAGACTATAGTTTTGTTCAATAGCCACAAGAATTAAGAAAATATGATCATTGGGGCATGCCAAGTCATCAAGATCCGTTTTATTCAAACAAAGTTTAACAAGTCACCCTTAAAATAACATAATAGTGACAAAACAGCAACTTAGAAATGTAAACATGCTGACCTAGTGAGGATATTTACAGGGAAGTCAAAGAAACAAACACATTTTGAGGCTAACAATCAAAGAAGACAACAATTTGCTGAAACAGAAAGACCAGATGGAGAAACCATTATATTGGCGTTGTTTCATCTATAAACTCACAGGTCATAACTAATATCCATACACTCCTGCATTCTTTATTTGAATTATACAATCAAAATTACCACACAGAAAAAAAAATCAAATTTAAATACTTTCAATCTCGAGTCCCTCCTCATTAGTGGAGACCCCTTTTGACCACCACCACCACCACCACAACCCCCTCCACACACACACACACACAAAAGAAGAAGAAAAAGACTGATGCTCACTAGTAAGGTTTCAAATGAACTAAGTGGTTCATGATTCATTTGACGTCCGACTCGTTCAAATAAAAGTTTGTTTGAGATAATGTAATGAGGCTTGTTCAAATAAATAACTAAGTCCAACTATACCCAGCTCATTAAGCTCATGACTACATATTATATAGTTTTAAACAAAGAGTTGTTTTTATTTAGAATATTTATAATTTTACTAGTACCCATGTACAAACATAAGAAAATCTTTGAATTTTTGGAACAAAAACATTGACATTGATAAATGCCTAGCGCTATTTAGAAATTTACATTTCCATACTTGAATAAGATAATGAATTGTATAATTTAAGTTGTATTTGATGTTTGCTAAGCTCGCACTAGCCACTAAGCTCAAAGAAAGCAAGAGAACCATCAATACACTTTATAAATAAGGTCTGAACTCAACTCCATAATAAACCAGCCAAGCACAAATGCTCGAAAGCTCAGCTCGGCTATATTTCCATCGCAGACCTACTAACCACATACTANGAAGAATCTCACTGGATAGAGCATGTTCATCTTTCTGAATCTGTAAACCTGCCACGACCATACAACACAGTCCATCACGCCAAGAAAAATAAAACTCAAAGAAACAAAAGAGAAAAATGGAAATTATTGCAACAAAGAAACAATGAGCTGGTATGCAGAGCTGACCTCTGTAATCAGAACCGACGTAACCCACGCGCATTACAACTTTCTTCTTGCGAAAAGGTTCCCATTTGAGTGACGTCTCCGAATGGCTAGCTTGGGGGGTGCTGGCGGCGGCGGCGCAAGATGAATATGAGATGCGGTGGATGATAATTCTAACGGATTTGTCGTTGTTGCAGCTCTCGAAGCGGCGGAATCGCATAAACGGAGTAACCCACCATGGGGAAGACGGAACTCTCAATATGAAAAACGCCATGCTCGTGAATTGAAGCTTTTTGGAAGACGACCCAAAAAACTGCAGTGGTAATTTGGGGCTGTCCACGCAAATACTTAGAATACTTAGGTCTACCTGGCACACCTAGCAAGGTGTGCCACAAATGAACATGTTATGTTACAAAATGAACATGTGTAAATCGTGTTTACACATGTTCATTTTGTAACATAACATGTTCATTTTAGATTACTCTGGCACACCTTGCTAGGTGTGCCAGTGGGCTGTCCAGGTGTGCCTCAAAGATGACAAGTTTTTTGCCAATAAAAGAATTTGTATTATAATGCTTAGGGAGATGAAAATGGAATGATCATTCCCTACTCATTTCTTATTCCTTAGTGTAGTGTTTATGATTGTGAATGTCAACAAAATAACTCCAACTCAGAAAGAAAATAGAACAAAAGAATTAAAGTCGAGGCACGTAAAGGTATGTTCTCCAAAATGGACTTGAGTACAGTGTTATCGTATTGCCATGATTTACCGTTAACGTCTTCTAAATACAATGACTTTCAAAAGAACAAAATATCATACATTATAAATTGCAAAACAAAAAAACTCTTAGATATTATATATATATATATATATGTGTGTGTGTGTGTGTGTGTGCGTGTGTGCGTGTGTGTGTGTTTTCACGTTCATGAGTAATTACATCTCTAGAGGTACGTTGAGTCAAAAGACACTTTTCAGGATGTGTGCGGTCGTCCAAAATTAAGTTATAATCTTTTCAACACGAGCAGGTGCATTCAGGTCACGAGCTCCTTGCGCCTAATTGATGGACAAGTCCAGTCGTCACGCCAGTGACAGGGTCATGCATTCGCTCGGGCGCGCGAGCCCGTATGCTCTCGTCCTACTCCAAATGATGTTCGTTATTATCATATTCATCCTTTCATGAACTTTATTATAGTTCTAGCATGCGTAGTGCATGATTATAGTTCGTTTGGCTTGCCCTAACATTTGTTAAAGACCAAACATTTTATGAATCTGGTAATTTTTAAATTACTTAATCTCAATTTTGAGTTATATAAACCCAACTTCCACATATTTCAATTTAGAATTAATTTCTTATTCACCTTATAAACAATGGGAGAGGAAAGTTGTAAGGTGCGGTTCTGCTTCGGGTGCTTTTTCTACGACCTCGGCTTGGGTTCTAAATCTTATTCACCTTATAAACCGGTATTTGAGATTCTATCGTACCCTCCATTCTGATTGGTATATCATGAAAAAATATTGCACCATGTTCGATATAATTGACCTTGCCTAGGTCTTTGGCTTTCTAAGTCAAGGAGCTAGGAATAAGACGCCGAAGCCTGGAGCTTCGTAACATGTTGACGAAGACCTCCGAACTGAGGGTTCGGTCAGTAGAAGGGACGACTTTGTCTCCCCGGAAGAAGAATAGCCCCGCACTCTAGCCGACTGATCCCCTTGATCATATAACTGAGGGGGAACGTGTCACATTAGAGGTGTCCTCTAATCACCACGATGAGACTGGTCCCTTTTTTAGTAGACTCAGCTATTAATATGAATGAAGAAATGAATACCTTTCTACTGAGCTACTAACCCTATTTTCTCAATGCTTATACTTTCTCTTTCCTCGAGCCCCAAGCTTGTGGTCCTCCTTTGAGTGTGGATTCAATTGGATGAATCTGTCAAGTCAAGGAAAACGTAGGTAGCAGCAAGGATGGTGCATCTCCTATTTTTCGTTCTCGCTCGGGAGCTTAGATCGATTCTTTCTCATTCATGGACGTTGATAAGATCCATCCACTTAGCAGCACCTTAGGATGGCATAGCCTTATAAGTTAAGTATAAGTAAGGGCGGGGCACTTCTATGACTGAACTTCACTTCGCTTCGTTCGTTGGATCGATTACGTTGAGAAAGGCTTGCTTAGGTTGAGTAAGCAACTGATGAACTTTCTTAAGATGTTCAGTACTACATTGTTATGATATATAGTAGCCCTACCCCACGTTCATTAAAGAGATAGAACTTCCTCGCCCGGTACGAGCTCTTTTGGTTTTCTTCTACCGTGGGATTCTTTTTTTTTTTGTCCTAATTAATTAAGGGACTCCTTTCTCACTAACAACTATTTCTCAGTAGACAGACAGGAGAGGGAAGTGAGTCTCGACCATGGGGAGAGGAAAGGGAAGATGATAGGGTACGCCTAATTGATCGTAGATGTATAAGGAATCCACTTTATGAGAGGAAGTTAAGGCTTCCACTTACGAAAAATGAAACCGTAAAATAGGTACAAAACTAATTTCTCACCTCCACATAAATGAAATTAATGCGTATATGCAATACTTAAAAGTTCCAGTTACTCATCATTATATCAGGATATATAGCTTGTGGCATTGAATCTTCCTTAGTGAAATACTATTGGATGAACTAACCGGTTAGTAGCGAGAGGCTGTAAACTTATTGGTTGTTTGTGTGCACCAAGACAATAGTACGCACACAACAACTCTAACAATTATTTGATCTCGCGTTGTGTCTGGTTTAGTAAGTATTCTTTTGAAATGACCTATTTAATTCTCACTTACAAACGTCATGAATCTCCTATATAAAGTGATTATACGGATAGCACGTGAGACCCATTAGATATATTGATCCAAGAACCAAACGTATATTTAGGCAACGGAATCCCAGATCGGAGATCTAGTTTGATCGTACCTAGAGCTTGAAAAACGTTTACTGTTAACGCCTTCAAAATACAATGACTTTTAAAAGAACAAAATAACATACATTATAAATTGCAAAAAAACTCTTAAATATAATATATATATATATATATATATGTATGTATGTTTTCACGTTCATGAGTAATTACAACTCTAGAGGTACTTTGTGTCAAAAGACACTTTTCAGGATGTGCGGGGTCGTCCAAAATTGAGGTCGTTGCCAGTCATCGCGCCAGTGACGGGGTCATGCGTTCGCTCGGGCACGTGAGCTCGTATGCGCTCGTCCTACTCCAAATGATGTTCATTATTATCATATTCATCCTTCAATGAACTTTATTATAGTTCTAGCATGCCTAGTGCATGATATAGTTCGTTTGGCTTGCCCTAACATTTGTTAAAGACCAAACATTTTATGAATCTGATAATTTTTATATTACTTAATCTCAATTTTGAGTTATATAAATCCAACTTCCACACATTTTAATTTAGAATTAATTTCTTATTCACCTTATAAACAACGGGAGAAGAAAGTTGTAAGGTGCGGTTCTGCTTCGGGTGCTTTTTCTACGACCTCGACTTGGATTCTAAATCTTAACCTGTATTTGAGAGCTTCCACTTACGAAAAATAAAACCGTAAAATAGGTACAAAACTAATTTCTCACCTCCACATAAATGAAATTAATGCGTATATGCAATACTTGAAAGTTCTAGTTAGTCATCATTATATCAGGATATATAGCTTGTGGTATTGAATCTTCTTTAGTGAAATACTATTGGATGCACTAACCGGCTAGTAGTGAGATGCTGTAAACTTATTGGTTGTTTGTGTGCACCAAGACAATAGTACGCACACAACAACTCTAGGAATTATTTGATCTCGCGTTGTGTCTAGTTTAGTAAGTATTCTTTTGAAATGACCTATTTACTTCTCACTTACAAAGGTCATGAATCTCCTATATTAAGTGATATAGCCATATATGTATTTGTAGTATTTTTGGGCATGTGGTAACCGAGCTACCCGACTCGGATTGTTCTCAAAGGAAGGCTGTTCGGAGCTTTGTTCTTTACCTAGTCGTCAAAATCACATAACCTAAAACAAGGTCCTACACATTCTACTCACTTGATTGGGGATGATTGCATGAAATTAAACTACTAATCTAAGAGCAAATGCTGGAAAATGCCAGAATCGAAAGAAAGGTCAAAGCATTGGTTGCACGGAATCTCCATAACTCAAGAAAATAAAAGATAATAAGAGAAAACATGCGAGCATAGTGATCCTAGGTAACCGAACACGAGCTTTCTACACTAAATCATCACGCTTTGAACAAAGTCGAGACCTTTACACTAGATAAGCACGTATTGATTCCTAACACACAAAAGCAAGCAATAAAAATAAAGCAAAACCCTATAAACGAGCATAAACACAAAATCAAAAGAACAAACTCGAAGTAGTAAGTCCTAAGTAAGGTACTTACTCTCCTATCGCATGCCCGAATGAAAATAATAAATAAAGCTCGAGACTTGAATGAAAATAAGCTTGCTGGAATTTCGCCGGAAAAATGAGTTATGAACCTCCAACCAAAGCATAAGGAAAAGAAAAGAGAGAGAAGAGAGAAAATAGAGAGGATTTTCCAACTTAAAAGTTGGGAAATGAGGGTGGTTGCAAACAATACAAAGCACAATGCCTATTTATAGCTACACCACAAACACACACTAAAAACACGCACATTTATAAGACACTCTCGAGGTCGCGCGCAAATTCGGGCGCGGGCGCCGGTTGGCACGGGGCGGCACGAGGACGGTGCGGGATGGCGCGAGGGAAATCAACACTCTCGACCTTGCTGGGAATTCCGCAGGCGCGGGCATCTGGTGCTGCGGCACTCTCGAGCTCGCACAGGTATCGCGCAGCGCAGGGCGCGCTGGGAACAACACTCGCGAGGTCTCCGATGGATTCGCGCGCGCGGAAATGGAAATTCGCGGCCTGGGCAGTAGCGTGTGGCGGAACTCGCGAGCGGAATGGATTTCCCGGGCACGAAATGGAGAAAACCCGCAGGCAGAAGAGGATTTGGTGGAACTCGCGGGCTACCATCGTTTCGCGGCCGCGAAGTGTCGAACTCGCGGGCTGCGCGTGCACTCGCGAGTTTGGGGCTACTCGCGGAATGGTTTTCGCGGGAGCGAATTGGGCATTTGCTTCACTTTTGAGGCTCGATTAGCCCTAACTTCTCACACGCTTCTCCGATTGACTCGAAACATTGACCCACGCTCCTCAAATCTTTTTCTCTTCGTCATGGAATGCCCAAATCGATATCACAACGCACTTAATATATATGCTCGGAAATAGTTCGCATGGCTCGG